AGTCCTCCACCTTCATTCGAGGGGAATTTAATGAGCTAAATTCTCACCAAAGTTATTCGTACTAGTAGCAATCAAGTCATTCCTAATACATGCTGCCCCAATATCTGTTCGGCCATTGGGTTCCTGTTACGTAGCAGAGTGGGGGGCTTATTATGCTAGTTCCTGTCTGGTGGTTCTTAGAGTACGTTGTCTTGCCGGCTTTAGGAAGTGCTCATAGCTTCGTTGACAAGCGTCACTTTCAGCTTTGTCTGTGTATTTGTCGTGGTAGCCACGGATGAGACAGACTGGCCGGGTAGTCAGTGACTTGAGCCCGTTACCGAAATCCCTCGATTTGGAACTAGTGGACGCCATGTTTCTACTGAATACACGCGAGTGTCAATCTTTGACATACTTTTGAGATAGGATCTCACTTGAGTGACGGAATCAAGAACATTTCCCTTCGTATGTCGTTCCACAGTTCGAATCTCGCTGTTGATATCGGTAATGCGATATCACATGGGCTTACGACATTGTCTGAAATGCAAATATCTCGCAACGTGTTTTGCTAATTCAACCAGCAAAATTAAGGAGACTCTGTTTCCGAAATTCACATCAAGCGGAGGTGGTACAAATGTTTGGCAAGAGACTCAACTGAATCCAGCCAAGTCTCTCGTTTACAGTGGTCTTCCAGTTTCGGTTCGCATACAACATAGGGTTGACTGAAACTGGGAAATTCGCCTACCTGGTGGGCCCCAACAAGGGTGAAAACAGTCGGGGGCTGTCGAAAGCTTTTCAGCAACCTTGTGAGTAATGTGCTACATCTAGATATTGTACAAATGTTATTTTTGGCTCTTGATTTTGTTGCTTCCAAGGCAACTCGTCATTAGTACAATAACATATCTTCGTAACTGCTGGACCACTTTCCTCACAATCGATGCCGACAGATTCCAATTATCGTTCGTTTTGTTCGTCCGCCAATTAGAGCTTCCCTTCGTCTGGCCTACAAAGAGGTTGCGGATGAACGAGACAAACGCGAAACGGCGCTCAAATCCGTTGATCCCAAGCGTGCAGAGCAGGTGGAACGACTGGGAATGAGTGGTGCAAATCTGAACACAAGGTAAGGAGTTGTCGTTCCGCTAGGCAATTACCTTGTACACTTGTTGTCTGAACTCCAAACTTCAGGTCTTTGGCAGTCGATCACAATTCCTACATCATTTTTTTCTGACTGATTTTGGGCTGCTCCCTTCGTTAGGCCTGTTTTCTGTTCGATTTCATCCATTTAATTCGGTGTCAGTAGGACGTTTACAAACCTGCCGCGGGGTCTGATAGACCGAAAATATAAGGTTTTCTGATATAGAGGCTATTACCATATTGAAATCACAATTAGCCACCAATTTTCCTTATCAGTTTTGAGGCTTATTCTAAGCTGTTTTCGGGGGTCTTTAGTGTTTTGGTTATTGTTGCTGGCTGTGGAGATGCATGGACAATATCTAGGACCCTTGGAAAGATTCAACCGTAGGTGTCCAACAAAGTGTGACAGCCGCTGAAGGAAGTGCATAACCGATATAGCATCGGTCGCTGCGTAAATTTGTCACCCTCGTGTGATGAGAGAGCTTGCGTATTGCAATCATCCCGCGGGTTACACCAGCTGGAATCTCGTTTCACAAGGTGCAAGCATGCCAGGAAGGCCGAAGGGTCAGTCAGACTAAAAGCAGTGAGACCCCTTACTTCGGGTAATCGTAATTTGGGGTGGTTCGGGGGTAAAGTCATGCCATTATCTGCGGTGTAAGAGTTCAGGAAGTAAGGTGTTCTCCCTTGTTGACTAGCATGTCCGTTTTTATGGAAGTTGTAATGTTATATTCTATTCCATCGAACAGGTTAAACTATTGAGTCATCCACTCCGGGCAGGGTCCCTCAAGAAAATCCTAATGCCCGCTTTCTCAGGGATCACTCTCTTAGGTAGGAGACTAGAAGTAGGGTCCCCAAACAAAACCCTACATCCCCCTTATGCCTTATGGGTCAGATTTTCGAGTCGAAGGTTCAAAATAGCGTAGCCCAACTGAAAGGTCCTCCTCTATTTGAGCAGCCGTAAAGTGTCGTTTTGCCCGCACGGTTCTTTGTCCACCGATGTCCCTAGCCAACCTTTTCCCATCCTACATGCAGACTTCGCTGGATCCTTTGATTTGCGATTATTCGATGGATGTGTTGTACCCGCTCCACTGTTCATAAACGGTCGATAGCCGACGACCGTTTCCCACCATTCTTGGGATTCATCGAGTAGGAACAGTTCACGTTTTTCTGTTTAGCTAAAGACGACATTTCCATCGGGACCGGGAAGGTCAGAGCAGCTTTTGTCAACCTATATCGTCTGTAGTCCGGGCATGACGTAATGTTTTCTCTCAAGGGTCGGGTTTAGAATGTTGCGGTACCCTCCATATTGTTGTGTTGGTCAGAAACTTGGCCTCTGCGAGCTTGGGATGTTAGAAAACTTTCAGAGTTTGACCACAGGTGTCTTTGGAGCGTCTTTCGAGTCTGATGGGATCATCGGATGTACGTTCACTGGTTTTCGGGAGAGATAACGTGCCCACGATATATGAATTCATGGTAGGTTACGCTTGCTTGCTCACGTGCTCCGTAATCTAATCGACGAACTTCGTCAGAGAACCATTTTTGCACAACCACGCGAAGGTTGGAAATGAGCCAGTGGATGTGAAGCGATGACTTAATAACAAAGAATGAAAGCCATTACTAGCAAACTCAGCCGCACTGGTCATTGCCATCTACCTGGATGTGGACCCTGACACGGGACACGCCAAACACGGCCCAGTCACTTGCTCATTGGCGTAGGTGCATCCAAGTTGTTGCCATGGCGAACTTCAATAGATTTTTCCGTGATTTAAACGTCTCCTTAAGCAGACCGGACAGACCTGTGTATCGGAAACCAACCAGCAGGATAGATCCTGCTGTCATGCGTCACTTTCTCCGCACACTATTCCGTTGAAATGCAGCATCATTCGAGTCTCCATCGGGGCGGAGTGTGTATTTTAGGTTAGTACCGTCATTCGATAGATGTGCAGTACTCATTGAGTGTTTATTCAAAGACAGCTGAAATCGGTGCGGATTGAGTCGATGGTTGTAGCCAGTGTTGCCTATTGACCTGTTTGCGTCAGGTGCACCATGTGCTGGTCAATGAGGCAAATCTAGTAGACCAAATTCCACAGATATATGCTAGTGGTTCGTAGAAATGAATCGATGCCTGCAGAGGTTGGGTAAGAATGTGCAGTTTGATAGTAGGAAAGTCGCGGTAGTTTGCTTAAAGCGTGATATGTTATGTTGGAAATGGCTGTATTTCTTGTTTCACACAAATCTTGTGCTTACTAATTGCTCACTGGGAAAAAGTACTTATCTTATGGAAATCCTGTGAAGCCTCCGGTTCTAAGCAGCCTGAAGACTGGATCCCGCAGTCTAGTAAGACCCAATGACGATTTCCAGTTCATGAGCCCTGCAAATGGGTGCAAGACATCCAGGGTGCATCCCTCTTGAGAACCAGTCGATCTTGCGCAACGCAGATGAATTTGGGACCAGGTCATTTTGCCGTCTTTTGGGAAACGCTCTTCGGGAACTACCTTGCAGGAGACATCAGCATATCTACAATGTTTATATTTAGTTAGCCCTTGGATTGGGTCTTGTTGTGGCGCTTTCAATCCCCCTTCCTTTTCTATATGCCAACAGAACCGGAATAGGACATTCTGCATTTTCCAACGTTCAGAAAATCGAGCAAGAAGGCGTTACTCCCACCAGCGGAATTAACACCAATCGTTCGTCAGCCATTACATCATCTAACATGGATCCGTACTTCTCTACCACTGGTTTCGGGTCCAGTAATCGGATTCTTGACTCGTATGGCGGATCGTCGCAATCCAAGGCCGATGATTTGTTCGGTATGAATATGTGTCCGTGTGCATTCATACTTGCCTTCTAATACGTTTAAAAAAACATGCTAGTTGTTCTTTCGCTATCAGCGCACTGTTACTCACATTTTTGAAACCGCGAAATCCACTCACTCTGTTGTGCACACTTTACAGGTCGACAACCCAAGAGCTCCGCCAGTTCGTGGCTGGATGAATGGACCGTAATCAAAAGCCCCAACGAATCCGCTGCGCGTCTAAATGACTTCAATGACCGTTCAAGTGGAGACCGTTCTTACCTCACGGCTCCGGAGGATAACGGTGCCACATCGGACTGGAGCCGTTCAGCACCTAGCAGACCTCGACCCGATCCGATCAGCTCCCGACAGGAAGCTTCGAGTGAGCAATCCGAAGCACTTCGAACTAAATTTGCTAACGCGACTGCCATATCTTCCGACACGTACTTTGGTCGAACCGAGGTAAAGATCATGGTCATGCCGAATTTTCCCATCTCTGCTTTGAATCATTCCTCCTCATATTATTCGGTATCTAGGGCATATTCATTGTCGGTGCATGCAACTCCACACACTGCCATGGGCGTGTTTCTATTCCGCCAACCGTGTAGTTGTCTACGAATTCGATGAAAGCACTTCATAGGCCCACAAACTCCTCCACGAAAAGCTTGCACACGCAGGTCTTCATATGCCTTGTTAGGTCTGCTCTTCAGTTCGCCTCATGCTCAGTCTAATGAAGAATGTAATTAATTTTTGTTGCGAATATTGCAGTTACGAAGGATACCTATTTCAAATTACTGAACTATTTCACTAATTTAATCTGAACGTAAAGTTGACTCGGAAATCGACTCAAAGAGGACCGCGTGATCGAACCCACTGGCAGATCCGTAGTTGTGGCAACAACACATGTTCTCCCCTTAGCAGACGAAAATCACCCCTAGGTACAATGGTCGAAGTAATGAGCTTAAGCATAAAATCCGGCCCACAAAACGAAACGTTCTGGAGATGAAGTAGACAGGGAGTTGGAAGTGAATACTGAGAAAATCTGAATTTTAACTAGAAAAATTTCACTTGGGCTGGAGAAATAGGGCGAAAATGAGAGCGTGGGAAAATGGTGCACAGACTTAACATGGTAAGCAACGTTTCGCTTGTTGACGAACATCAGGCCGATGAGGAAAGGGCGAAAGAGGGAGATCGATTTCCACCTAATTTACGTCTGATGAGCAACTGAAGCCAACGGACTTATACTAAAGGCTCATTCTGCGTTCACAAAGGGGAAGTGGCGTGCCTTATCCTGATGGTGGCAGAATTCACAATACACGTTGCTTGGTATGTGGTTTGTTAGACTGTAGTTATGTTAAAAGAAGGGAGTTTGTCAAGTTGTTCAGCTTAATCGTTTACTGTTTTGCATCCTGTTTTATTGGAAATGCCAATACAGTACGAAGTCATGTCTCAGTCGGTCGATTCCGATGTGAAAGATTCTCCTATTTGTTTGATATTGGTTACTGTTCTTGCCTTTTCGTATTTCTAGCCTGGTGATCTGGATATCAGTCGATTTCAAGGCAGCTCCTCGATTTCCAGTGATGATTACTTTGGACGAGCACGGCCCCAACAATCATTCCAGATTTCCGACGAAATGCAGTCGATAAAGGATGGTGTCCGTCAGGGTGTCACCAAGGTTGCCACCCGACTGTCTTCTTTGGCTAGTGGTGTCGTCACGTCGCTTCAGGTGAGCTCTTGCAAATGTATTTCTCACCTCTTCGGTTCTATAAAAATAGCGCATTTATTAACTAACACTTTTGGTTTAAGACAGGGTGATGCAGATCAGTTGTTAAACTATTCTAGGTCGTTATTTTCATGGTCTGAGATCGATCGGCGAGTTCTGGCTTCGGCGCTATGGGTGTCACTTCTACCGGGCGTCCCATCCGAACAGGGATAGTGCTGTTCCACAATGAGAGGCGTTTTGAAGCTGAGGACATCTGAAAAAAGAATCCTTTCCCCAGAACGGTGCTCCAAAATGAATGTCTTGGAGGCTTTGCTGGTATTACCATGTGTTGCGGTGTTATCGTGTCTGCAGTGGCTATCATATGGGGAGCCTGTGAGAGGTTTTTGTGTTTTTGCAGTATACTGTCAACCTGTTGGAAAGCTGATTTACTTTGACTCCAGGACAAATCTGCAGTGTTGCACAGGTGCGGTGTATTCAGACCACTGAAGCAATTACTCTCAGAAGGCTTGAAAGTAGTTCGTCAGGTTCATTTGCCAGCAACGCCGTCAATCAGTTCTCTTTCAGTCGCCGAAGCAAATCAATAGGGCGGACCGACATCTGTCAGGACCTCTGACAGAACGTACATAGCCGTGCATCACTGTTTCCAGAAGGTGGGAGGTCAAACCGTGAAACGGCGTTGCTTGTTGCCAAGCCCCTGCTGCAAACTAGTCACCGAATCAATCTAAAATCCGTTCCGACTGTTGTTACGCAGTCAGAAACCTCCAGACTTCTGTCTACCATTGAGCTGATACATACCAAGTTTGTCAACTAGTTCTGTGTGCACAATAAGTTTTGAAGCAAGGCATTTGGTTTTGATCATGTGACACCAGCTTGTAACTGCTTATTCAACCTTGTCACTAGGTGATTTTCACAGATAAGCGGCTTGTTTTGCGTCTTGCGGCTCAGAAGAGTGCACGGAATTTTAACTTCTGTTGTAATTAGTGCATTGGATAAAGGCTACTCACTGATCTCAGTTTCTAAGCTAAACTAAGTAAATCCCTGACTAACCATTGTACGTCGTTCCCGTGTCATTAGCAGTACGCCCCTGACGGTGTACTCGATATGGACGGTTGTTTTTCCATCTATTTCGCTATCATCTGTTTCACCTCGAAACTCTCGGTGTGCTAGACCTTCAGCGATGGTAAAACTAACTCCCCATGATGATAGTTCGATTAGTCAAACCATACAGTGGTTCATCGCCGCATTTCATTCGAGCTTTACTTTTTGTTTGTTTATTACGAAACCAGGTCACCAGTCTGTCTTAGGTGGGTGTCACCATGTTCAGGTAATTAATTGTTCTCATTTAGGTTGGTGACCTTGAAGCACTAAAATTCTACCGTCTAAGCAAGAGTTGTTGCAGGAAACAACATTTTCTGACCACCAGTGTATTGACCAGACTGCCTACTAGCTAACCATAGCTGTTCATACATAAATGGGTTTCACTCAGAGTGAACCAACCAGGGGTGTACTTATCCCCATTTGATTCGATAATTAACAGTGAGGACGTGGTAGTAGCTTCAGAGCCGCTCGTTTATCTTCGCTGAGTGATTTGATTCCCTTGAAGTTACACCGACTAAAAGACGTTCAGACGGTTGCGTGCAAAGTTCAGTGAATGGAGCATGTGTGGTGCTACCTGCGCGGGGTCCGTTGGCCTAGCTCCATGTGACGGACGATCTCTAAAGTGAGTGCTATCGTACCAATCAGACAGCTAGCTTCAAGACAGCAAACAAAACCCCCAACTACCTACAAGCATTCGAGAGTAATCGGTTTGTCTAAACAAATTATCACCCGACTCGAATGAGACATATCTTATCATCGAACTGAGCTACTTGGATTTCAGTACTCTCCCCGTACAGTCGACCGTCATATGTACACGGCGGCGTTGCTGAGCTATCTTCAACCTTTATTCTTAAGTTAACTGATTGTGTCACACGGGGGGAGGGAGCTGTTTGCCGTTTGTCTATTAGTTGAATAGCATTTTCCTAATGAAACACCTCACTTTGTACACAGATGCCTGTTATCTCACATTTTTGCTCTCTTCTGCTTTCTGCAGGATCGCTTAGGCTAACTTGCTGAAGCAGTCTTGGGACCATTGATTTCCGGAAACGCTCCCTTGTAGTATGATGTGGACTCCAACCATCATATCCGGTTCCTTTCCAATCTGGACGAGTTTTGGCTGTGTTTTCATCTCATTGCGGTCGCCCAACTATTTACTGGGTTACTTGTTTCTTTCTCTTTGGTCATGCTTCTATCGCCCTCTTCTCACCTCGTGTTTCCTTTCCAATGCCTCCGAACTGCCGGTCCACAAACTATCCGGATTTCAGTATGCTTATTCCACTGAAGGTTAGCCAGTGTATATCCGTTGTACTTGTTTGGCGTACTTACTCCGTCTCGAGTGAAAAGTTGAATCGCTACTCTGAATATACGACATAATTGACGATTATCTACATCCAGTTCTCCCGGATTTCGTTTTGATGCTTTCTTATGCATGATCGCGTTTGTTTCTCTTTCGGAAAGGGACATCGAACCAAATATGTGGGCGAGTCGTTTGGGGGTTGTTACTTTTCCTCTCGCCACACTGAAAAACGCCGCTACGGATATCGTAGCCGCATACCGCTGTTTGGAATTTGCATCACCAACCATTTATTTAGTCCATTGCCTTCATTGACCATCCTTGATACTGATCCTGTCTGGTAGCACCCGTCTATGTTTTTCCCAAGGCCGTACTGTGTTCATGCACTTAATGAGTTGCCATCTTTTCTCAGTGTCTGAAGAGTGATTTGTGTTAGACTTAAGACGTCGGAGTGGAGGTCAAATAAGCACGGCGACTATATCACTGAGGTAATTCCTTCGCGAACTAGCAGCGGCTGCTAACTGCGTGACATGGCTCATTGTTTTATTACTTGGCTCAACTTCCTTTACTGTGCTCTCGTGCAATTGTTTGCATACAGTTACCTTATGCTGTGTACCAAACAACTGCATATCAGTAGATTGGTTGATTTCTTTACGTAGTTACGTGCGGTTCATCTGAACTTCAAATCTGGGGCCCATCCTCAATGCCTAAAATGCGGGAATCGCTGAATGGCTGCCTCATCCTTGTTGGTAGTCATCAGCGGAACATATCCAATGATTCTCTGGGGTGATTTGAATCTGCGACATTCCGGTTAATGCTTGAATATCACTCCATTCGGCCTCGAGTGACTTACCAAGCATGTAAGTAACTTAGGGAAAATATAGCGCCACTCATTCTTCATTCACGCGATTCGTGTTTCGTGGTTTAATGTGGAGATTTCTGTGCGTTGATGAGTTCTCGCATTGAAAATCCATGCAGCTTATGCCTTCTAAGCAGATTGCTTGTGGTTTGTAGGTCGTGAGTAGTTATTCAGATTTCAACCTTTATTTGAAGTTAGTCTATAATGAAATACCGAGAGAAACTGCACAACTGCATCGTCCTTGTTGGGACTTATCAGCGACGGTTGCAGAGTCACGCCTATATTCTCCGAGGCAGTCGTTAGGTATCCGTTGGTCAGTGACGGGACGCCGCTTGTCGTGTGGCTTGAGTGAATTATTCTGATTCGTTTGCCTATTCGAGCTGTAGATCCGTATTCGGGATGCGTACATGGGTGGCACGTCGCCCCATTTTACCGCCATGTTTGATACAGTATGATATAATCACATTTTTGAGGTACATTCTCGGATGCTTCCAAAATGCACATCCACCGGCTTAGGGAAAATAAATGCAGATGGCACCTACAAGTCTCGGTTAAAATGCAGCCGGTTGGCGATCCTTGTGAAAAGACAACGATTTTCCTGCAGATCTTGTAGGGGACCACTCACCTGTTCGGTTTTACTGCTGTGAATACCTGGTGGTTGTAGGGAAGTAGTGGGATTACCCTCGAAATGAGGGGAGTTTCGAAAATGAAAACGATTCCTACCTTTTTATCATTATAGCAACCGTTCTCGGATGTTTCAGCGTGTAGCACTCGTTTACAAACCCAAGGCTTACTGCGGCACAGCTGCCACTACTTGGAAGCATGGTGATTACTCTACTTGTTATATCCTTCCAAACTTGTCAGATTCTTTGACAGCGTTACTCTTCCTTATGTGATAACTAAATTGGGCGATAAAAGTTATATCAACAGCCAAATTAGTGAATTTGTCTAAGCTGTCGGGCATCAACAAGTGCCGCTTAATTCTCTCCTGATTTGCTGCGTAACAGATTCGTAGGAGTACGTCCTAAAAATACGGGAAAACCAACGTCTTCTGGTTTGATTGTGCTGCGTTGGTTTCGCTGTGGTATTGGTATTGGCATTTTCGCCCTACAGGGTTGGTGCTCACTTATGCGGTCAAATTGGGCTGCATTGATGACATTGGAGTTGACTTTTCTGGTCATTGAAGTACACGGTGGCGCCCAATCGTTGGGTCCCAATTAAACTGAAGGGGATTTCTGTTGCTTGTTAACATTCGTTTTGTAGAAGTGTTACTGAATGCACTTGAGAGACTGTTATTTTCTCATACTTAATTAAGGAACAGATGGTGATGGGTTTGTGCGCCTTTCTGGTTAGGTACAGTAGCGAAGCATCGGTGCTGAACACTGATGTCATGCCGTCGATGATGATGATTTGGATAGGTTATTAATCGAGTGTCTGACCTGTGGGTATGAGAAGTGACGACACAAAGAACAACGATAGATATTTTGGACAACAAACACCAGAGTGTTGTGCTTAAGTTGAATCATCATCATTCAGCTGTAACACCCTTTCGGCACCTAGCTGCCAACTATCAGAAGGAAGCACGAGGGCTATGATACTGTCAGGTTGCCCAAGCCTAGACAGAGGAAGTCGAGAGGCAGAGGTCGGGTTCGAACCACGGACCTTCCGGTCCACCACCTGTCCCTTTTTGCGCAATATAAGAACAACTTCGAGATAAGGCAAATATGCTTGTATTAGAGGGACAAACCAACTTCAGCGGGTGAACGATTTGGTGCTTGGTCGTATTGGAGAATTCGTTGCAGACGGGTTCGCTGGAGCCAATGCAGGGCTTCGAAGGGTGTCCTTGTGACATTCACGACAAAAGGAAACTGGCTGATTAAATGATACATAAAGCAATAAATCACGGTGATTTATTAGTGCACAGGTGATGATAGCCATAACACAAATCAGAAGGTGAATGTGCACTAATAAAAGCTTTCAGTATTTCTGTGACGCGTATAAAAATAAATACAGTGCGAATATGGGAGCAGGTCAAAAAGGGAACTTATCGGATGCGAGAGTCCCTTGGTGGAAGTCCGGACGGCGGGAACGTGTTTTCTCCGCAGTTTGGCTGCTACACGTGTTCCATGATTGTCCGTGGACTTGTGGAGAGGTTGACGTCCTGCTCCCTGCTTGACTGGGTTCGGTTTGCGTTTATGTAGGTCCCAGTGCGTAAACGTGGGCGCGTCGTCACATGATTGGTCGCTACGCTGACTAGGCGGTGCAGACAATCGATGTCCGATGAGTCAGCTTAATGCGACGTGTTTGTGCGTATGAGAAAAAACAAGCCTCGCGATCCAGTGAGCGACTGTGAGTTGAACAGTCAAGTATGTGGGTGACTGGGTCGCTACAGATTCTTCGCTCAACAGCATGACTGGGAGACCGAACAACACTCTGTTACGTTGATCCTCTAACTTTAGTCATGGTTTGACGAGTACCTCAATTACTGTCAGAACCATGTTCGGGGCTGTTTACTGCTTCGGTCTTTGTTAAAGTTTTTTTTCCGGATTCTTCGAGCGTCTAATATGATACGTCAAGAGAAAATGACTGTGGCCACTTTGAATAGTATTGACGGTTCCTTCAATGTTAAGATTCCATCAGAATCTGTCAATTTCTACTCCCGATTGATATTACACTCTATTCCCTTTGTACTGCCGTTTCGATCTTTATGGTGTGGAAGCGTTGCATGATTTTGCGAGTGTTTATTCACTATAATTCGCTCTTACATTTATCTCTTATCATATGTGTTCCACTAGAGTGACTGTGATCCTTATCACACACAGAAAACGTCTACTTTCAGTGTGCCGCTTCGGGCTGTTATTAGTTCGAGGCTCTGAAAGTGCTTCCATTAATGACAATCAGGCTGTCAGACCTACTAGTTCTCATTCTAGCGTTTACTGTTACTCAATCAATGCATGTTTTTCACCAAGGTCACACGATGTCTGGATGAACAAAGCGAAAAGTCTGGGAGGGCTGCCGTTATGTGTGACTGGTTAATTTACTAGCTCTGATAGGTTTGGGGCGGGAAAGTTATGGTTTTAGCTAGCTTCTGATCCGTCGCAACCATATTACATCAATTCCCTTCACTCAACACTCATTTGCCATTTCTGTTTGCTTGTCCCATTCACGTAAATTGGTTTTTTATCCAAAATCATGTGGGATGTTGAAGATCACTCATTGTGAGCTTCAGCTCACCTTGCGATTTTTCTCAGCGGTGCATCACACGCGGACGTAAAGAGTTGTGGACTATTCAACATAATCTAATGTGGGCAGTGGATTCAGATGTTGGAATTTTAGTTAACTTTGTAACTTCTGATAAAGGTTCTGTTTGGAACGTTGCTTTTAGCATCGGTTTATGCATAGTGAATGTGTGCGGTATCCAAACTAAATAGCTCTGCTTGTTTTCATGAAAGTAAGCGCTTTTCTGTTCAGCAGTTATGTAGCCGATCAATAATTCAGACTTCATTTGTGACTACATCTTGCTCAACGGTTCGATAACCGAAATATCTGTTCGGCACTACGCCTGTGAAACTTGGAGCAGTTGACGGTGACCCTTATGCTGATGCCTATTTATGTAGACCGATGAATTGCGTCAGGTCCCTGCAGACTTGCCAACCTTTCTTATTCTCCAGAGCTCCAATTACTTGCACCACATTTGATTCCACATAGACCGTTTGTTAGTGTTCGAAAACGCACAGGCTTCGGGCGAGCAAAGCACTTTTGGCCAGTAAATCTGTTTCGGATGCCAGGCACGTAGATTCCGCCAACTTAGAAGTTTCACGAAGAGATCCTGTTTCATCTTTCGACAATCTAATTTAAACACTTGTATTCTGAAAGAAGTGTTTTGGGTTTCTCTAGACTGGTTTCGTTTACGTTTGAATGAGAGAAGCTTGCTTTTTGACAATCGCTTTGTCAGTTGTTTGCTGGTTGCCTTTGATCTCATGTGTCTGGCAATTGAGTATTTTCCAAATGGAGAAATCGATGCTTGGCTCAGGTAGAACAAGTCGATTTTGTGTGCTCTTAAGCTTTTTGTCGTGGTGGTCATTTTGTCCAGTATTTTGGTTTGCGCTTATTACTGGAATGCATTCGCATTTACTTTCCAATAATCAGTCGGCTATGAGCAGCGCAACTCCTTTGTTGGGATGTGAAGAACGGCAAATGCCGTTGACGGGGACTGCGCCTACCTGATGAGCCCCAAGAAGGGCAAAACCGGTCGTGGGCTGTCGAAGAGTTTTCAGCAACCTTGTGAGTAGTTTCCTTTAGGAAAATATACTGCGATATCTCGAATGTCGTGCCAATTGAAACATGAGGCGGTCTATGTGCAGCACGTTCAGTTGTACAATATCATAAACGAGAGATTCAGTTGAGCTTCTTGTGAAAACCAAATTGATTTGCAAACGAGTGTATTTCTCGAAAGAAAGGTGCCTGGTACTCTTTCAAGCTTGATGGGAAACAATTTTCGCGTCTTAATCGACAGTTTCGCTTTTGTCGACCTCTTTGCTGCGGCATTTGAGGACCTCTGCGGCACGTATGAAATACTGTATGGTGTGAAGTAAAGTATGGTGGATCTATGAGCGGTTCGAAAACCGATGAGTCACCTGGGAAGCCGTCATCGTACGTAATAGCTGTTACCATAGCGCAGTGGTCGACCTGGAACATCACGATGATTATGCTTGCTTCGGTGTTCAGCCTTTGTAAGCAGGCTAAACTGAGGGGCAACCATGCAAGAAGCATCAAGGCCCCATAATGCAAGTGTACGAAAGCAGTGTGCGCTCTTGGTTTGTTTGCTTCCAAAGACCTATATTTTCACATTTGTGAAAGCAGTGACACTGTCTTCTCACCCAATTATGAGTTCCTCAAGAACCGTTACTATCACCCTGCGGTTGACGACGAATGCCAGCTCTTGGTTGGGTATGGTCGAAATGAATTTGATATGATAAAGGGTACTCTGTGGTTCACGAGAAAATTGGCAATTTCACCAAGAGCGCAAACACGAAGCACTGATTTCACTTCATCTTCATCAACATTGGCGATGCATTCGCCAGTTGCAGTTAAAAAAGGCCACATTTAATCGTTTAGCTGTAGCACCCTTTCGGCGCCTAGCTGCCATGCCAAACGGAGGCACGAGAGCTGGGATGCTGCCTGTTCGCCCAAGCCTAGACAGGGGAAGTCGAGGTGCAGAGGTTGGGTTCGAACCACGAACCTTCCGATCAGTAAATTTGCGTGGTAATATTATGGATATCCTGTGCACTGTCATCTCACCATAACGGCACGCTGTTTTCAAAGATACTTTTGGATTGAGTATAGGTGCGCATTTATACCCTCATTGGAGTTGGGAGCGTTTCAGCGATTCGAATCTGTGCCAACCAGCCGTATATAAAAGCCATCATCCAGGACGTAACTAAGATCAAAGCCATTTGGTTCTCAATTCATTGTGTGCACGAATATGATTTTTTGATAGCGTGTTCCCTGTGTCAGCAATCCATAACTGATCCAAAAGGCCTCGGGCTTAATACAGCTTGGTAGCCCGAATGAGGAGAGTAGACCATGTATGACTGAGCTTTAAAGAAGCCGACGACATACTTCCCAACTTCAGGACTCAGTTTGAAGGGCTCTGTACGCGAGTATCTCTGCCCGATAAATCAAGTTCAGCCACTTTTTTAAGGATAGGATGATTTGCAATGACTCCACGGGCGGACGTCTTACAAGGGAATTCCCGAGTTAATCAAACTACTGTCTAGCTGCTCGAAACCGAACGGTTTGTTCCTCAGGTCGGATCCCATTGGTTATTCTACAGGATCGCGTTGTTGAATTTCCTCAATAAGGCTAAAACATCTGTACAGTGCTTCTCTGACTTTCGGCGTGCGATCGCTTCACTTCAAAGTCTTCAGCTCACATACTACCAGCAAACTACTAGTAGCTCAGATGAAGAATAGTTCACACGTCGCATGAGCCTTCCATCTGATAAGCCGCTACTCGAAAAGCCAGTCAGTACGTGATCACATGACGTGAGTTCCGTGACTCAAGGATAAGTGACGCCATGGCCTCTGTGAGTGTGAGTTACATTCATTGCTGAACAGCCGCTGACGTCCGAACATTTTAGGTTTCAACCACTAGTTGGGAGGCTGCGACTTCAAGTTTGCCTGGAGAGTCTCGTAAATAAATTGGAAATCGGAATACTAGCAGCTCAGAAACCTAGACAATATTCTGAATATCTCTTGTCTGAAAGTACTACTGCTTCTGGAAGACTGTCGTGTGGTTGCGCAGTTAGTTCTAGGCAGCGTCAGCTATTCTTCTATCAGCGAATAGCCATCTTGTGGCATTTCGGATATTTCTCTGGTTTAACACACCGCATTTATTATTTTGTAACTGCCCAGAAGCATTGAAGCCTATCTATATTTTGCAACCCGTTCGGGTGGCATACCATCAAACTGACACTGCGGATATGATGCGGCTTTATATATTTTACCGTTCACATGATGAACGGAAGTTTATCGAAATACAGGCACAAAACTTGCTTGTCGGTTATTCTTAAAAGTGTAGAAGCTCTGGGACAAAGCAAATACATTCTGACAAGCGAGGCAGACTGTGCATGAAGACAAGATAACCGTTCAGATATTATACACTTTCTGTGCCCAGCTGCCGTGTTATCCGAAGGAAGCACGAGGGATGAGATACTGACAGGTCATCATGACCTGGACAGGAGCGATCAAGATGCCGAGGTCGAATTCGGCCAGTTAATTCGCGCCTCAACCAATGGGATATCTCGAGCTGTGTGCGGACCGCATCTGTTTTGTTAACGCTCAGATTATGCTACTTTGAAAATAGGACGTATGTGTCCCACCATAGAGAGCTCAACCTTGGGAGTGACCACTTTTTACTCTCCCAAAGCGCATTTCAATGATAAGGTGCATTTTGGATTCCTTTGGATCGACTAGCGAATGAACACTTTTCCAAAGGATAGGAAAGTGACAAACAGTTTTGTCCCTTTACAAGGAGCCACCTCCTCAACGTTGATTCATCATATACTTACTATGCCATTGTACTGTGCTGCTGCGAAACAACTTTGCACTGATCCCATGTGTTTTAAGCGTATACTCGTTTATCAGTAACGGCGCGTTCTCCCAGGGGAGTTTGCTGGTTAAAGTAGGACGCTGAAATTGATATGGTGTTAACACGAAGAAAAGTGGACTCATCGATGGAACGTCGCTTCTCATGCCACTACTAGGATGGTGGTCCCAATCCATTCATAACAAAGTATTCAACGAAAAACGATTATTCATGAAGTGATTTCTGGTAGTCACGGTAATAAATTCCACAAGGCCATTCAGTAAAGGAAGAACGGAATCCATATATAACTAAAACATAGATGGTCGTTTGATTAATTTTGAGTGAAAGGTCATGTGCGTTTTCTGATTTCATCCAGCACTTTTCTGAGGTGAGCTTTCCACTGAGTCTGGATCCTCATTTACGGAGCAGCCAGCTGAGTATAATTCGGCTGCCAAGTCGAACCGTCCGATCACCTGAAGCGCTCTGTACAGGATTGCAAACTGAAATGCGAGAAAACAACGTTGGTGTTAGTCGTAGCTTCCGGGTTTTCGGGCGATTTAGATTTATCGGTCTACTCCTTACAAACTATCAAATTGGTCAGTTTGGGAACAGTCGACGCTATATGACTTGACGCGAACCCGTGTGATTATTGAGAACAAGTTGTTCAGGCTGCCAACTAGCAGAAAATGATTACGTGATACAGTTTTCAGCTGTTAACCAGACGGTAGTGAGGTTGAAACCTCTACAGCTGCCAATGGTTTCAAGCAAATATGGAGCGGTCCACAATTGCTCTCTGGCCTGACTACTCTTGCAAAGTGTAGTCACGAGCTTGCTAGCTCATCTACTGAACTATGGTAAACAACATTGTCTAGGCTCGGTGCTTCCACTCAGGGCATACTGGAGCACGACTGGCTGCTGTACCCATAGTTCCGACCAACCAAAGCCAGCCTTGATGCCATGCCGCCAGTATCCTGACAACCTCTGTGTACACAAGGGGTCTAAACTGTGGACAGCGTTTCCTCAGACAGATAAAGATACAGTTAACTGGATGTAAAAACACCTTTAAAAACTTCTGAAGGGTTTACATACGAGCGGCTGTTCATCAAGTGCTTCGTTGTGGACCTCTACCGTTGCTTAAGTTCTGGAGTATGTTCGGCAATACGAATCCCAAGTCCCCTGGTGGTTCGGTAACACTGAGCTTGCACAAATCGGACGGAAAAAGGTCTAAACAGGTTACCACCAGGACACATGGTAACTTTCTCGAACTTTATAATATGAAAGCCAATCTTGGATAGGTACAAGTTCCTCAGATCAAAGGCCATTCCTTTTTTCTAAGATGCGCCTTGTGAATCAGGTGCATGACTGGCTCTATCTATTTTTTTAATGACAAGCACATTCAGCAATCGGCGATATTAAGCCACTTCGACTGAATTAAGTTCTCAACTAGTCTTGTCGCATGTGCTCAGTCATTGACTTCAATCCTACTTCATAACCTGCTGTGACGTGGGATCTCGGTTCCTAGCCTGGTTGACTAGGTCAACTGTCATTGGGGGGTGGGATGTGACACTGTCCAGTTCGCTTCTGGCTTCAAAGCTATTTTTTAAATAGAGCGGTTAGTTTAACTAATACCGAGAGAGCACTGTACGAGTGCCTCATCCTTATTGGGAGATTCGAACTCGCGATTTCCCAGTCATTAGGAAGAGCCTGGACCGTGCGGCCTTCAGCGGTGTCAGAAGCTACCACTAAGATGTGCAACTATCCATCCTTCGATTACGGACTTTACACCACTTGATCATGTAGTGATTGAGAGATTGTTATCACCACAAAGGACACTAATTTCGACAACTAAGTCAGTGAAAACTGATAGCGAGTCAGCCTGGCGGAGTCAAAAGCCCGTTTTTTATCTAATCATGCAGCCATCACTGAATGTGATTGGCATTGTTCATCGATGTCCGTTTCCTCGGGTCTAATGCAGCGAGGGATGGCTTGTACTCGAGCACTAAAATGGACTGACGGCCGTACAGCATTTTCAGTTAGCAAACACGAGCGTCGGAGCCCATGTGGTTTTGCCCATAACTACGCCCTTTTTACTTTAAAGACTTGGCCGTGTGAATAAAAGCCTTCTGACTGCAAATGGAGAACACATGATGGATGACCGTATCCCTTCCAAATTTCGAAGTACCCGATACAACAACGTAGTGCGTGAGAAGCAAGTAGCAACTCAGCATGCCTTTTCCAGAGTCGAAGGTGCTTTTTCATTCTGCTGGCATTGTCCGATTCTGGTCTTTGGTGGGTGGCTCATTCAGTGGGTTCTGATGGCGGTTAATGACTAGTTAATATTGGGGTCAATCTGGAAACCGTGTGCAACCAGCTGTGTTTAATTTAGCCTTATTCCATTGTAAAACGAGCAGCACTTAGAAAGTCGGCAAGAATGACTCCGAAACAATAGGGTCAAATACAAGGACAGATGTCCCCATAATGAATTCGTCCTTTAGTATTATTGTTATATCTGACTGCTGTTCCCGATGCAGTGCCTTGGTGTCGAAAGAAGACTCGTCGACAAGGAACTCGACAGCTTGCTTACAAACAAGTGAATGCGAAAGTATAACGGCCTTGCGTTATATTTTTTAAGGGTGCTGTTTGATCTTGATCCTCGTCTGATAGGCGTTTGGTGTCAGTAGATTTCGGGTATTCTGAGATAATCTTCAGGAATCTGACCTTCCTAACAATTAGGTCTACGCTTGATACAGGCATTTGCAACGAGACAAAGCTCATTGGTCAGAGACCACCGAGTACTTGAATCTGTAAGAAGTATAACGTTTGGGAAAAGCATATTCCAGTGGGTTTCCTACCTATTCAGGCGTTAGACCCGCCAAATTTTTCATTCTCTCTTTTAATCCTCCAATCGGGAAACCTGAACTAAAATGGCGGTTCGAATCGCACGTGCTTCTTTTGAGATGCCAAAAGTGATAAAACTCATGGAAACAGTTTATGCCCTGGCTTTTAAGCTTGGTTATTTTCAGCGGGAAGTTACAGGTTTAGCTTTGCAAGGTCCCCTCAATTTCTACCAATCAAAAATGCTGTTAGCTTCTTCAAGAATAAAACTTACTCTATCTGCAGAGATAGGCAAAGTTTTGATCCAGCTTGTGAGCATTGCCAATGCCAACAGCTCTTCTGCTTCTCCAAATTTGGCAGTTATGACTTGTAGACGACCTCGGCTCATATCAAGTGCAGATCCTAAACGTTGCCATGAATCGCCCGGCAACTTTTTGGCAAGGTCTTTCAAGTAAGAACGCGTTACAACATCTACAAACCAGAGAGAAGCGGATAAGTTTCGACGAAGAAGGTGGTTATCTGGTCTGCGTTGGAAATCGTGTAGTGCATTCGGGTATATTTTTAACAAATAATGAAACATACAGTGCTTTTTGAATGCATTATACTGTTGGAATGATGAAGTAGCGGTTATGAAGTGAATGCTACCTCGCAGGATTGAACGTCACGCGCAGTTAAACTCAGCAGAATACAACTAGAACGGGTGGGTCGAGTTTTGCAGCTTTTCTATATTAAAATTCACAAATCAAACCCAGGAATTTGACTCACCTTTCGGTTTGAAGTTGAATTCGGACTGAATCCAAGGTGTAGGGTTCGTAATCAGTACTTTGGGAAGGCTCACCACGAAGCGAACCAATCGAACCGGCTCTTGGACGATTTGGTAGCGATGCTTCTTAGTCTTTGACGGCGTGTTGATCGTTAATGGACCACTTTGCATCCTGACCAGTTTGTTGCGTTCTGGAATGACAGGGATGCACACATCTTTCTCGCAGTAAATGTCTACCACGCCTTGGTGCCTGTCGAATCCAACTTGCGCAGACTGGTCGATGGCCTCCACAACAAACTACAAGCACGCATGACAGAATAAGTGCCTCATTATGGGGTCTTTGTGAGACTTTTCTGAAACGGGAGGTTGCCTGATGAGGGAATGTCTAGTTGACACCTGGAAATTCTTTAGCTTACTTATGATTCATCCAATCAGGACCGTATAACATTACTTGAGTGTATGCTTAAGTAAGATAACCAGTCGCCACCCATAACAAAATGCTATATGGTCAATCTGAATGCCAGATTTGTTACGGCCTGTGGAGTCTCAGATTGCGCACTGCCTATGTTTGTAAGGAAAGTTTGAGCTTTCGACAGATAAATGGTGATTAGCGCAGAGTTGAAGGAAGCGATTGCAGTTGCTGGTTCTGAGGGCACCTACACTAGATCCTCCGCTCAGATGGCCATTATGCTCGTCTATTGTCTCCAACCGGAAGTTGTAATCACTGACCAGGATAGCGGTACGTTAGTATTAGTACGATAGCTTGCTTCTACGTTTTTGGTTGTTCCCTTTTGGCCTTCCTGGGATGTTTTAACCTTGAGGAACAAAGTCCGAACCTATTTAGCCCTCGGAATAATTACAACATGCAACCTTGACTACCAAGTCACTTCGGCAGCCAATGGTTGGGATTGCGCAAGACTATGTAAGGAGGATAAGAGTCCCATCGGATGCCTCTTTGTGAGCAGACCTTGCCCGATGAAGGTTGTGGAGAGAATCAGATAAGAGACTGGAATTAGCAGGAATAGACACTCACTGAAAATATCGTCTAGCTAGCTGAGATTGTTTGTCCCAGTGCTTCCACGAACAGTGAATCGATGGAACCACTTGGCTACGAAAACCAGCATTTGTCAGCAAGCTGGTGCACAAAAGTGATAAGCCAAAGCACTACGCAACCATAGTTATCATAGTGCTTCCTAAACTACGATTTCGTGACCAAAAGAACTGCTTCACAACAGTCAACATCCTTTGAGTAGGTAAATATCTTCAGAAATCTGTCCAATACATACAATCGACACAACAGCTAGTGAGGTTTTATGGCTACAGTGATTTCCACTAGCGGTTACCAGCTAGATTCGTAAGCCATAGATTCACAATAAGTATTGGATATTTCAGGAACACTGAGTGCAGGGTTTTAATTTGTACATACTGACAATGGAAGTCTTGATATATGAATTTCATTGCGCCCCATTGAACTTGACAGGTCAATAGATTGTATTACTTATGGAAATTAAAAAAATGCAGAAACCCCAAAGCTTGAAATCGCGCCTACCGAGATAAGCGACGAAGTACTCAATAAGCGAGTCAGAAGAAAATTCGCGCCAACAAACTCGCCAAGGAGATGTTTACATCTAATTTCGAATTTGCGAAGCCTACCTTGTGTAGATTAGGGCTGATAGAAGCGAGACTTATTTTCATCGTCAGTTTCTTCTGCGACGAAGTTTCCTTGTTGCCGACAAGACGCAAGTTCGGACGAATGAAAATGTCCAACTTCTGACCCTCTTTCAACAACACTGGTCCATATGGTTTTTCGACTTCGTGATAGGCTTCCTCATTCAGAGCTTTAATGTCTGTATCCAACTGGTCTTGCCCTGATATCAGACATAACTGATGCGGACACTTCAGATTTTGTAGCAGCGCGATACGCACCAGACACTTTGACAAGCCTTCTTCAATCAGTGTGGCACAGTACGAAAGCGTTTCGGAGTCAATCATCCGTGATAGCTTGAGGACCAAAAATCTAAATTTGCAAGGGATCGAGTGAAGCAAGGTGTTATGATCTCTAATTTGTGCATCATCTCGTACGAGACTAAACCAGACGACTAAGATTGTTTGGTGAATCATTTGTGGACAAATCATGCTGCAGATATACACAGGGCTGCGCTGCAAAACTGCTGAATATTTTTTCCAGCCTACTGAGGGTTTTAACATTAACTTGACAATTTGCTTAAACTGGCACAACTGGGTCCCTTAAGAAGTCCTAGTTAATAATTAGCGTGTGCTAATCCAGCGGAGCATTCGTTTTTAGCATTTAGACTAGTGAGTTCTCAGTAAATTCTAGAATCCTGTAAAATCCAAGAAGGATAGGATGTATTCCTTTTGAGGGAGATTTTGCGAACGATTGGTGGATCCATTACTGAACAGCGGTTTACTCTTGATTGAGAAGTTTCATCACGCCAGTCAAACAAGCTACCAGGTTGGCTGGGTTTTAAAGCAACCAGGGAACCAATCGGCGAGATTTCTTACGGCTGGCTGCATCTATCAAACTGTTCATAGAAAAGCTGCATTTCCCGTTTTTTAGCTAGTAAGGATGAGTAATACTTATGATAAATTGGGATGGGGGTTGTTTTTATGTAGATGTTTACATCTAATTTCGAATTTGCGAAGCCTACCTTGTGTAGATTAGGGCTGATAGAAGCGAGACTTATTTTCATCGTCAGTTTCTTCTGCGACGAAGTTTCCTTGTTGCCGACAAGACGCAAGTTCGGACGAATGAAAATGTCCAACTTCTGACCCTCTTTCAACAACACTGGTCCATATGGTTTTTCGACTTCGTGATAGGCTTCCTCATTCAGAGCTTTAATGTCTGTATCCAACTGGTCTTGCCCTGATATCAGACATAACTGATGCGGACACTTCAGATTTTGTAGCAGCGCGATACGCACCAGACACTTTGACAAGCCTTCTTCAATCAGTGTGGCACAGTACGAAAGCGTTTCGGAGTCAATCATCCGTGATAGCTTGAGGACCAAAAATCTAAATTTGCAAGGGATCGAGTGAAGCAAGGTGTTATGATCTCTAATTTGTGCATCATCTCGTACGAGACTAAACCAGACGACTAAGATTGTTTGGTGAATCTTTTGTGGACAAATCATGCTGCAGATATACACAGGGCTGCGCTGCAAAACTGCTGAATATTTTTTCCAGCCTACTGAGGGTTTTAACATTAACTTGACAATTTGCTTAAACTGGCACAACTGGGTCCCTTAAGAAGTCCTAGTTAATAATTAGCGTGTGCTAATCCAGCGGAGCATTCGTTTTTAGCATTTAGACTAGTGAGTTCTCAGTAAATTCTAGAATCCTGTAAAATCCAAGAAGGATAGGATGTATTCCTTTTGAGGGAGATTTTGCGAACGATTGGTGGATCCATTACTGAGCAGCGGTTTGCTCTTGATTGAGAAGTTTCATCAGGCCAGTCAAACAAGCTACCAGGTTGGCGGGGTTTTAAAGCAACCAGGGAACTAATCGGCGAGATTTCTTACGGCTGACTGCATCTATCAAACTGTTCATAGAAGAGCTGCATTTCCCGTTTTTTAGCTAGTAAGGATGAGTAATACTTATGATAAATTGGGATGGGGGTTGTTTTTATGTTGAATCCGGATATAAGGGTCTTGCTTTTCCGGTCTAGGATCCCGAACGGGAACTCCCCTCTTGGGTGCCGTTTACAGAGTTTATTGGTCTGTGCGCGTTAAGGAGTACCAGGACAATTGGACTAGGGTATGGAATGCGTTAAGTGAATCTTACTATACTCGGATTTTGCACTTTTAGTCTCAGACGATCCCAGTGATAACCGCACACCTCGTGTCATCTCGGCTGATCTACGACCGCTTTCCACACGTTTGCAAGTTCTACACCCTCTACTCTATTTACGCTGGGATAATTGGCGATTTCCATCACCTCGGCCACCAGTCGCTGGGATGTGAATCTTAGTCCCCTTCTCAGAATGTCCACATTTTCCATATCTATCCTGTGCTCAACATCCAATGTACGCCCTGCCATCGCCGAGTCATTGACTATCACCAGATATTCATGTTTGTTTCCGGATGGTCTGTTTATGCATGGTTTATGCTCATCGATTCTGCTGTGCAACTTTCTGGATGCTTGGCCTATGTAAAACTTTCTTTTGTATGCATAATCCCTGGTCGTATCAATCGGAAGGCGATCGTTCAACTGCACCAAATTGAAGCGCAAAGTTTTTTCCTCTAGAACGCTATTCTGATGCTAGCCATATTCAGCGCACTTCTACTGAATCCAAATGTCCGTGTTTTGTGTAGGATGATTGCTGTTCCCACCCACTCCTTTTGGTGTTGGGACCAATACCCGTCAAATTTAGCGCTTAATTAAACCCACTGACTATCCGCTGTCTTGACGTTGCTTTATTTTATCTCAAGTTGTGCCGATGCTCGGTTGACCTCCTCCATGCTCAGTGATCCCGGTCCATTTTGCCGAAACTATACAAGCATATACTGTCTTTGGATGTGCTGATGAGTAGTCTGGGACCGCACTGCTGTTTGCTGGTTCCTGGTAAGTCATCACTCTTGTGTGTCGTGCAGTCAAGGAAGGGTACGATACCCGATATGGACTCTGCCTCCATGCCAAACTGAATTTGAGGATCCAAAGTGCTATCTTAACACTTAGTCATCCACGTTAACCAACAAACGTGATCAAATCGTCTGGTCGTAAGAAATCTCACCAATCGGTATTCTGACTGCCTTGAAACTTGGCAAACCTGGTAACTCACTCATTCGGTCTGTTGACGTTGCTTTAAGTTGTGCCGATGCTCGGTTGACCTCCTCCATGCTCAGTGATCCCGGTCCATTTTGCCGAAACTATACAAGCATATACTGTCTTTGGATGTGCTGATGAGTAGTCTGGGACCGCACTGCTGTTTGCTGGTTCCTGGTAAGTCATCACTCTTGTGTGTCGTGCAGTCAAGGAAGGGTACGATACCCGATATGGACTCTGCCTCCATGCCAAACTGAATTTGAGGATCCAAAGTGCTATCTTAACACTTAGTCATCCACGTTAACCAACAAACGTGATCAAATCGTCTGGTCGTAAGAAATCTCACCAATCGGTATTCTGACTGCCTTGAAACTTGGCAAACCTGGTAACTCACTCATTCGGTCTGACAATGCTTTTGTACTAGTAAAGGAACGTTACCCATTAATATATCCACCGATCGTTTAACGAGCCTGGTTGAGGCGATGACTGCTCACTCAATCCAAAACATCTTCTATCTGATTAAAAGCATGCAAAATTTCACCTCAACACCAGCCTCCCGCTTGTTGACACAAGTCCTGAGAATTTTGATTCTACTCAGCTGCGAGAGCTGCTGGTGTATCCTAAAATTCCGCCATGCATGTCCGTGGACAATATTTCTGTATTAGTCAGAATCCAACAAAGCAGACAGGTTACTTATAAACATATCATGAATGCTCCTGATCGGTTAAGGTAGACTCCACTGTTCAGGGCGAGGCATCGAAATGGTTCTCTGCCTTGTATGTAGCCTTCAGTACCAACCAAATGTCTCGCAAGATAACTCTGATAAAAGTGCATTCTACGACGAAATATTTCTGCCAGTAAAATGTGTCATTCGTGCAAAAAGATGACCAGTTCTTCAATTCCTGTAACTTTGTACAATTTCACATTGGACTTCACAAACTGAAATGCAGTCATTTTAAACGATGAGTGAAACTGAAAACTTTAGGATAGTTGTGAGCTGCGAAGCAAACTTACAAACTTGGTAGACAGTTTATGAGTTTATATGCGTGGAAAATTTTATCAGCACAAGACAACCAATGGATTTTTTAGAGACATTCGCGAGTAAGCTGAAGGAAGAATTTTGATGTTAAAAAATTCCTAATACTGCATTTTGGCTTTGTACGAAACTGATTATTCACTATTTATAGTAGAACCGAAATAAATCACGATGAAGCGGATCTATTGTGAAGTCTACCAGTGAAGACAAACACAACATTCTCGCTTGCAATTCTGGTGTGTCTAGGAAGTATGAGCTACACTGTATCCAATGATCGATACCAATATTCAGCTGTAGCACCCTTTTGGTGCTTAATTGTCATGCCACCCGAGGGAAGAACGAGGGCCGGGATACCACCAGGTTTCTCACGTCTAGACAGGGAAAATCGTGATGTGGAGGTCGGGTTCGAACCACGGACCTTCCGACCAGTAAATTCGCACTTTAACCACCGATCCATCTCGCCAACCAACTGCTTAATAGCAACTAACCGACAGCTTTCGATTTTTTGTAGACTGAAGGTCACCACACCGTCCACCGTGTCAACAAGCTCGGCATCTTCACACATGGTCCAGTTGTCACCAGTCTTCTCGGAATTCTGCATTATGACAATTGCGGAAACTTCCTTTTTTTGACCTTTAGAACAAAAACGCAAGAAGAACCTGAAATCACCATTTATCACCAAGCCCGAAAAGATCACCGAAACTAAAAATAATGGGTGAAACACTTGCCAGAAATAAGTTGCGCCAGGAGCAGTGACTTTTGGAAATTGTTGAGTACCGTAGCCTCGGAAGATCTGCATCCTATAATAGAATTTTTAACATTAGTAAAATAATGGGTAAATAATAATGGTTTCTTCGGTACCTAGCTGCTATACTGCCCGAAGGAAGTACAAGAGCTGAGATACTGCTGGGTTGCTCAAACCTAGGCAGAAGCTGACGAGATGCTGCAAACTGGGTCCGGAATATGTACTTTTGTGCCTTAACCAGTAAGTTGCCTCATGCTACAGATATGTGGGAAAGTTACATAAAACAAGTACCACCTAGGTGGAAGAATTTCCACCTCCAACCGGAGGAGGGCGAAATCGATGCTACGGCTGTTTAATGATACTGTTTGAATCTGGTTTCTTAATCAAGGGCAACAAAAATTTAGGGTTATTTTTCAGATTAGATGTCAATCATAAGAATAAGAACGACAAAAATTACGACAGTGACGCCAAATAGGATAATTGTGATGTTGATAATGATTAGCACAATTGCGATTATGATGCCTATGCCAAATCGACAAATCGCTGCGTTGAATTAGAGGAATCACCTAGTTGGCATCCCCGTGGTCACTTCACATGATCTTTCCCATATGTTTACCACACACTAAGCTGCTTACAAAAAAACCTACCAATGCTTCCTGTACCGTCGTCGCTGATCATTGAGACGTCACGATGGTGCTCGTAACGAACACGATGTAAAATGCTGGGATCTACGTTGCTTCGTTGTGGAGGTGTTTGTTCGGGAATTGGAAAAGATATACGCACTGGTTTGAAGGTCGTTTTTCTTGGAGATGCTAAGAAGTAACGAATTTTGAGATGATTCCTAGAGTTTGTTATGGTTGATGAAAATAAAAATATACCCCGAAAAACGGGATTACTGGATTCTTTTTGAAGCAACTTTTTGACATTTTGAGTTTACATTCTACATCGATACATATTACATACATACTACATACTACAGGCTTGGGTTTTCCACTACGTTGCGCGGCACAAAAACCACATACGTAGCCGTAGAAGAAAGGGGCTTGGAATTATTGACACTATGTATAGAATTCAACGTGGACACAGAACATTTGAGTCAATCTTTTAAGTCCTTGACTCCAGTTTGCTATCTTTCAATGCTCATGCAATTCGTGGGCTTATGGTCACTGTTCATGCACTCGATTTTATACAGTCATGGCTAATCATGATCAACTGATATGCCTAAGTTGAATTTTTATTGGCCACAATGCCGAAACAAAATCTATCTGAAACTGCAACTAATCAAAGTTTTGGCGAAACCTATTGATCTACGTCTATTTGAAATCGATGTTTCAGCTTAAGCAACCTGTTGCAAAAGCGTCAGTCGCGAGAGTATTTTATTAAACTTAACAAAACCACCGGCCAGATAGTATTCGCCCTCGAAATTGCTAGTTACATCAAACCTTGCGAAAGAACGTTCCTCAGGGTAAGTAGGCCGTGTACGTCCTCCATTGGTTGGAGTGTGGAGCTATTTAAACATTTCATCGCAGGTGTAAACAAAGAGTCTAGATACGATACACAGCAAACCATTTGAGTTACGGAGCTACTTATTACCCGTGACAGTGTATCTTTCAACTTGGACACCTCGAAAACAAGACACTACATTCAAACAACTTACTCAAGTAGACCAATGGGCTGCATGTAAGAAACTCTTTCATGAGTAGTTCGTTTTGTGCTTTAACAAACGACAGTTGTCGATAATCCATTTGTCTCACCTGGAAAGTGAATATCAGGCATCAAATCTTCTATTTTGTTGGACTGCTTGAGAACACACCGGTAATGATTTGCTACACCGGCAAAAGTCTTTTGAACAAATTTAGATCAGAAACTTTAATGTAATCGGAAAATATTTACCTCCTAATTGTAACCTTCTGGTTATCGATACAGCGATAAATGCAGGCAAAAGTGATATAACCTGAGTCATCAGTCTTACATCCTCAGTCCTACAAACATCTAAATGACCAAAATGCATAAATCTCATATATACATAAATGTGGTTATGTATACATACATACGGAGGCGCTAGTGTTGAAAACGTAGCTCCCATACACCTCGCTTGTGTTTAGTACGGAAATCTAAGACTGTAATAATTCGACAGTGAATGACAACGAAGTGCCACGCAGATGGATGATTCTCTGTCGTGCTGTACGCCGTCATCCACGCTGAAGCAACTCAGATGTCCTGTTTTGAGAGTTATGTGTAACATTAGCAACTGTTAAGTCCGCTGTTCATTGGAACAGTAGTCCAATCAAAAGCATTTTTCAAATTGTATTGCGCTACACAGGTTTTAGGGCTTTACCAATGAGCAAAGCACTGGTGATCAAACCAAACTAGTCCAGACTAGGCACACAAATGGAGTTAAAGCCAAAAATTTGGTTATCTTGGCACTGGCCAGCCAATCAATTTTTATTCAGCATTGTTTCTACTCTTTATTTATTTAGCTTACATATTTTACATCCGCGAGTGAAAACAGTAAAAGAAATTTTAACATACAGCATCAATTGCATTCCGGCAGTTCTAATGGAACTTCCAATTTCATTTTTCATTCTGACCGACGCACACCGGGATTTCAGAGTACAAGATGCGACAACAAGGAGATGTTTTTAGCTAGCACGCCTAAAAAGATGTCACAGATAGGGGTGGAAATTTGATCTTGAAGGCAAAACAATATGCTTCATATGTGCCATTGTTTCTGACAGTACTGGATTCAGACCTGTTGTGAACCAGTACATTGAGATTAAGAGTTGCATCAAACGTTCAAATGGATTAAATAACACAGCCACAGTTATCACCACCGTTAAACTCCAATCTAGAATAGTACTCACTTGCAGAGTGAACGGAAGCGAAACTTTTACAGCTGATTCAGGTATTTCCAAAGCAACCTTTGGCTCCGTTACACTGATTAGCCGACCACCAAGTGGGCCGATTTCAGCCGAATCCCTTCTAATTCTTGCACATGGGGCCAACGTTATTGGGCTCAGTCGATGCATACGGCACTCAAGATAGTGTTTCCCATCAGAAACCACTTCTGTAGTGTGACGTTCCACCCACGAGACGAGATCCTTTGTGGGCTGAAGAAACGATAACACAGTGCAATTGGCTATCACTTAACACCGGCAACCTCAGCATAAAGTTGTTGAAAACGTGCTTCGTCTTTCATTAGTAGAAGCACGGTTTTCTACAGAAAGCGGTATCCAAAACGAGTGGACAGAAATCTACCACTGAAAATAAGGATTCACCTTAATTTGCCCCTTTTGTTTCTTTGAATGTTGCATTGTCCAAAGGTTCAATGAACTGCTTGCGTTTACCAGCAAGTATCACAACTTAATGTCACTTCTTTGCAATTGCCACTTTCTTCCAGGACAACAAACTGCATCATCGAAGTTTTACGAAAGTAGTACTTATTGATTCTAATTTCCAATATTTAGCATGCTTCAAAGAGAGATTTCCAGAATCGAATTTAGCCTACAGAAAGCCTTGGTTGTGTCGATGGGGTAGAAAGGAGTGCTTGCTTTATTTGGAACGATTTTCATTTCGAGTTTCTGGATGGTTAACATAGATAACTGTTGCTTTCGCCTGGATGTGTGACTATACTTAAGTTTTCTGATCAGCCATCTTCGCTAGCAAACCGTTGATCAAAGGATGTTACCCTCTAGTTGTTTCTCATCCTTCCTAACTTAGTCCAAGTAAAAAGTAGTCACCGATTACTGTAGCTTGACTACAAATAGAAATGATCCAGTACAACCGAACACACCGCTGGCCGTAAAACTGAATTTCATGTTACAATCCGCACATCTATCCCCAGCATGGTAGGATACTTCGTTTTGGAGCATAATGTATTGGCATTCTTATAGTTTTCCAGAAAGGTGATGCGGATGCAGAGGGCAGGTACCTCAAAATACCATTTGTGTTTACAAAGACAAATGCGTATTGTAAGCAAACGTTCCTGTTTGTCAAGTTTCTTTCACAGGCTTTCGGATAAATCGAAGGGAACCGAGAAATTCAGCTACTGTTGAACCTAGGTGTTGCGCTAAAAATATTTTTGCACCATTCTTGCATGAGCAGTGAGATGGTGTCTTATATGTGCATACAAAGCACGGGCATTGTGAGTAGCTTTCCGACTGGCTTCTTATTTTTTCGGCGTTAGCTGACCTTACTACGCGCAGCATTTGAACTGGCATCACCTTTAACAGTCATTCGCAGAACTGGTCATTTACCATCTATTCTACGTTGTTTTGCCATCCTCTCATATTTAGAAAGAACCCATTGCTTTAATAGACTAGCGATGGTTACGGGAACTTCGTCCTTTCGCTCAAACGCTAATTGACGCTAATTTCCATTCGTCCACGTATTTGCGATGCCTGAAGTCCAGCTTGTTTGATTATGCTCTCTTTGTTGTTGAATCGATTTCTACGGAAAATAGGACTTACAGCTGGCTCTACAGTGTGGTTCTTCGAAATAATCGAGTGGCTGCCGGTTCAAAATCGTAGCTGGACCCTTGTTGTGCTGAGGGCCTCTTCTTGAAAATGTTTTCCTCTTGGTTGTGTCATAAAGAACGAGAAACACAAAGGAGGTTTCCCCACTTTTGTTCACTGGGCCATGGGAACCATCCACGGAATTTCCTTTAACATTCCAAAGATGATAATGTATTTTAGGACGTATTTGCCAACCTAGAATCTTAACACACTTGCTTAGAAGGTTGTTTACCAACTTGTGAATAGCACCGAAATGCCACCAAATGCGATGGGCGGATTCTTGATGACCACACTAATAAATTCGCGCCAAGCATAAATGGCAAGTCTTTTGTCATAATATGGTTAGTATTAAGCGCTTCCTTATTCTGTATCCCTGTGATCCGTCTAAGGGGAACACCAGAAACCGGATTCAGTTGATTACATACCAACGCCCTTGATGTGTATTGCCGCAAGCACTGTACACATCCCATGATTACTCATCCCTTCTTTGCATACGCGGATATCGTACCGCTCAGAGATGCCAGTGTAATTCACTTTATCTAGCACGCCTAAAAAGATGTCATAGATAGGGATGGAAATTTGACCTTGAAGGCAAAACAATATGCCTCATATGTGCCATTGTCTCTGACAATAGTGGATTCAGACCTATCTATCTATCTATCTATCTATCTATCTATCTATCTATCTATCTATCTATCTATCTATCTATCTATCTATCTATCTATCTATCTATCTATCTATCTATCTATCTATCTATCTATCTATCTATCTATCTATCTATCTATCTATCTATCTATCTATCTATCTATCTATCTATCTATCTATCTATCTATCTATCTATCTATCTATCTATCTATCTATCTATCTATCTATCTATCTATCTATCTATCTATCTATCTATCTATCTATCTATCTATCTATCTATCTATCTATCTATCTATCTATCTATCTATCTATCTATCTATCTATCTATCTATCTATCTATCTATCTATCTATCTATCTATCTATCTATCTATCTATCTATCTATCTATCTATCTATCTATCTATCTATCTATCTATCTATCTATCTATCTATCTATCTATCTATCTATCTATCTATCTATCTATCTATCTATCTATCTATCTATCTATCTATCTATCTATCTATCTATCTATCTATCTATCTATCTATCTATCTATCTATCTATCTATCTATCTATCTATCTATCTATCTATCTATCTATCTATCTATCTATCTATCTATCTATCTATCTATCTATCTATCTATCTATCTATCTATCTATCTATCTATCTATCTATCTATCTATCTATCTATCTATCTATCTATCTATCTATCTATCTATCTATCTATCTATCTATCTATCTATCTATCTATCTATCTATCTATCTATCTATCTATCTATCTATCTATCTATCTATCTATCTATCTATCTATCTATCTATCTATCTATCTATCTATCTATCTATCTATCTATCTATCTATCTATCTATCTATCTATCTATCTATCTATCTATCTATCTATCTATCTATCTATCTATCTATCTATCTATCTATCTATCTATCTATCTATCTATCTATCTATCTATCTATCTATCTATCTATCTATCTATCTATCTATCTATCTATCTATCTATCTATCTATCTATCTATCTATCTATCTATCTATCTATCTATCTATCTATCTATCTATCTATCTATCTATCTATCTATCTATCTATCTATCTATCTATCTATCTATCTATCTATCTATCTATCTATCTATCTATCTATCTATCTATCTATCTATCTATCTATCTATCTATCTATCTATCTATCTATCTATCTATCTATCTATCTATCTATCTATCTATCTATCTATCTATCTATCTATCTATCTATCTATCTATCTATCTATCTATCTATCTATCTATCTATCTATCTATCTATCTATCTATCTATCTATCTATCTATCTATCTATCTATCTATCTATCTATCTATCTATCTATCTATCTATCTATCTATCTATCTATCTATCTATCTATCTATCTATCTATCTATCTATCTATCTATCTATCTATCTATCTATCTATCTATCTATCTATCTATCTATCTATCTATCTATCTATCTATCTATCTATCTATCTATCTATCTATCTATCTATCTATCTATCTATCTATCTATCTATCTATCTATCTATCTATCTATCTATCTATCTATCTATCTATCTATCTATCTATCTATCTATCTATCTATCTATCTATCTATCTATCTATCTATCTATCTATCTATCTATCTATCTATCTATCTATCTATCTATCTATCTATCTATCTATCTATCTATCTATCTATCTATCTATCTATCTATCTATCTATCTATCTATCTATCTATCTATCTATCTATCTATCTATCTATCTATCTATCTATCTATCTATCTATCTATCTATCTATCTATCTATCTATCTATCTATCTATCTATCTATCTATCTATCTATCTATCTATCTATCTATCTATCTATCTATCTATCTATCTATCTATCTATCTATCTATCTATCTATCTATCTATCTATCTATCTATCTATCTATCTATCTATCTATCTATCTATCTATCTATCTATCTATCTATCTATCTATCTATCTATCTATCTATCTATCTATCTATCTATCTATCTATCTATCTATCTATCTATCTATCTATCTATCTATCTATCTATCTATCTATCTATCTATCTATCTATCTATCTATCTATCTATCTATCTATCTATCTATCTATCTATCTATCTATCTATCTATCTATCTATCTATCTATCTATCTATCTATCTATCTATCTATCTATCTATCTATCTATCTATCTATCTATCTATCTATCTATCTATCTATCTATCTATCTATCTATCTATCTATCTATCTATCTATCTATCTATCTATCTATCTATCTATCTATCTATCTATCTATCTATCTATCTATCTATCTATCTATCTATCTATCTATCTATCTATCTATCTATCTATCTATCTATCTATCTATCTATCTATCTATCTATCTATCTATCTATCTATCTATCTATCTATCTATCTATCTATCTATCTATCTATCTATCTATCTATCTATCTATCTATCTATCTATCTATCTATCTATCTATCTATCTATCTATCTATCTATCTATCTATCTATCTATCTATCTATCTATCTATCTATCTATCTATCTATCTATCTATCTATCTATCTATCTATCTATCTATCTATCTATCTATCTATCTATCTATCTATCTATCTATCTATCTATCTATCTATCTATCTATCTATCTATCTATCTATCTATCTATCTATCTATCTATCTATCTATCTATCTATCTATCTATCTATCTATCTATCTATCTATCTATCTATCTATCTATCTATCTATCTATCTATCTATCTATCTATCTATCTATCTATCTATCTATCTATCTATCTATCTATCTATCTATCTATCTATCTATCTATCTATCTATCTATCTATCTATCTATCTATCTATCTATCTATCTATCTATCTATCTATCTATCTATCTATCTATCTATCTATCTATCTATCTATCTATCTATCTATCTTCTATCCTATCTATCTATCTATCTATCTATCTATCTATCTATCTATCTATCTATCTATCTATCTATCTATCTATCTATCTATCTATTATCTATCTATCATCTGCTGTTGGCTTGCATGTAGTGTTGCAGAAGACAAGTGCGCATCGCTGTAACTTTCTGTTTCTGGATGGTTTGACTACACGGGTGTGTCAACAAGCGAACACTGAAATATCACAAGAGTTCCAGTTGATAACTCATCGCAGAAAAGGAAAATAACCGTAAATAACACTGAGAACATCTAGTCAGACAATGCTAAGAAAAATGGTACAGTAGATGTGTAACAGCGAACAAACTCCCAAACACGCTTCCTCTATTGGGACTAAGAGATCAAATTTAGCATTCAGGTCACTAGTAACTTTCCGTGTTCTTTGCCCATTGTGGGACAACTGTGCCTCAGACTGGAGCAAATACATGACAATAACACAAAATGCAGTTGGGCGTGAAATATTTACTATAAAGCTGAGGGTCAGTCAGCCTGTGCGTGAAATTGAGGATTTCGTCGATCCTGTGAACAGGGATTTTCCTGTTAGAGGTGAACTCTTACTCGTTAATAAATTCGCACCATGAATGGTGCGTTGCAAGTTGAGTGCACTGCATTCTAAGACTCCCAGTGAAAAGTTGCTTTCCACATTCAATGCACAAAGACATTATTAATAAAAGATCATACCAATTTTCACCTATTTTCACAGATTTTCTTACAGATTTCGTCAGTTTCTTATCGTTACAAATGCTACGTTCAAGGGTACCCACGTCAGCGCCACTCATTGCATAAAACTCTAACCTCTGCTATAACCAATGAAGACGCATGGTTGACTATTCACATCACTCCTCTTGTGATCCAGCGAATAAGAATGAACATCTTGCAGCCAACATGAGAAAATGGAATACGGAAATCGGGACAAATATTCGTGTCAAAAGTACCAACAAAACTCTGAAAGGTACATTTTCATGACTGGGGATGCATACTATTTTTCTGTTGCACTTACGACTTTCATTGGGTCCAAATCCAATGCACATACTCCATTAGGTCCGGATTCTATTGCATATATCACTGATTCCTTTGAAGTGGCCTTGATGTGTTTGTTCGGAACACCGATTATCCACGGTTCATCGGACTGATGTAATGAAATCGGTATATAATCAGTCTATTTTACAAAAATGTACTGTGCAGTGAGAAATGTTTGATTACGTTGCAAAACCCAAATGATGATACGACAGCAATCCATAGTAAGAAGGATATATGGCGAGTAGCCAGACAAATCCTGGTTCATTAAGAAACTTTTCATGGAAGTTTTGTAGATTGGGCCTTAACCAAAGTGTGCAAAAGTTGCAGTAACCACAAATTCAGCTTAAATATAATAAGGAAAACCCACAGTATCAGTGAATTGATGAATTTTTATAGTAATAGGCGATTTAATGTGCGCAACATGAGGTGATGCAATCGAGTTCCGACCACGAAAGCCCGTGACGGTTTGCAATTGTTGACATTTTGGCCACACAAAAATAGTTCTTCCCTCCGTAGTGCTATAGAATCTTCCTAGATTTCGTAAGCCAATTCATCGCAACTACTGTTGACCTGCTCGTTCGCTATCTAAGTCACACTAGCGCTGTTGAACCAACCTCACGGCAATCCACTTACGGACTCCTTTGTTTGCTGATGGAGCAGTAACCGTGTACCTACAGCCAACTTGAGTGCACCCTTGTAAGGAGTAAAACTCCGGTTGTCTAATTCCAAGCTGGCGATGCTTTTTACAGGTATGGATCGTTTGACCAAGCTTGTTTGTGCATATGCAGGAGAGAAACTCCACTGACGCTTCTTGGAAATATAAGTAATGGATGAGCTTCCTCGGCTTTTTCACATGACGCATGTTCTATGGGCCAAGTTTTGACCTCTGTGTAACATTTCCGTTTCTTGCTTTTTCGTTGTTAAATGTTGTAAAGGTTGGTCCTCGAGGTAGCAATTTTTCAAGTCTGGGCTAGCATCCGAAGTGAAGATCTTAGGTTAGCCTGGTCTCCACCATGTCATACTAATGAGTGCACTTCAAATATGAATAAACATATTGATGGGGGCGTACACTGTTGCACCTCCTTTTTCTGCATTCACAGATGCCAGAACAACACCAGTTGTTCACAAAAGAAGCAAGAATAATGATTTACATGATTTATTTACATGATTTGCATGATTTACATGATTTATTAATTTATCATTGTGTTATATCCCTCGAATGTTGAAGTTGAATTACATGATTTATTAATTTGTCATTGTGTCTTATCCCTCGAATGTTACCCTACCTAGAATATCCTTGATCATGAAACACTCAACTGATTGATTCTCGGTGTGGCGTTAATCCTTCTGTCCGCCGGTGAGGTTAAGGCACCTGTCTACCAAAAACGCGTTTTCTCATTCTCAATGTTGTTCATCTCACATATTCATTGAAACGTTCATCAAGCTGTGCAAATGAGTTTTCTACTGAAGAGGATTTCTAGCAACCATCGCTCCACACTTCAGATGGAGGACAGATTACTCTATTATGTTGTTCGTTCTCTCTAGGAAATGTCTTGCACTCTTGAAAATGCTTCTGTGGGTGGTCATTATCAGATAGGAAGACGTTTGGTTTAAACAATCAGTTGTACCAAAGTGTCATAGGTATATGTGGGTGTTTCGGAAATGCTGTATATGATTTTCCTAGATCCAGTATGATTGTTATCAGAGGTTAATTGTCATATCCTAAGAAATCACACTGTGATGACAGTGAGTGATAGTTCACATAACACTTCTAAGTAGGTTTTAATTCTGGTCGTTCCTCCATCATCTTTCGTATTTGTAGATATCGAGTGGGTGTGCAGTCCAGAAAATCCGGCAACCCCCAACCTCTGAAACAAAGAGCGTCCAGCAGCTTTCAATCGGCTGTGGCGCTACCTGACTGGGAAGTCCTGACTTGTGGGCCAGTCAGTTGACACAACCAAGGTATGTTACTGAGTCGTTGTTCGGTGCGTCAAGCTTCCCGCTCACGTCACTCGATCGCGAACACGTTCACCTGTTCCGACGTAACAATCCGGATGCATCCAGAGTGCGTCTGCGGAGCAGTTGTAACAGGCTTGTCTGGCATGTCAACTATGCCATTTTCAAACTCCGGCACGGCTAGTAATATGCACTGCTGATGAGTTCTAATCATAGTGAAACTCGAGTTCGGTGCTTCCCCTCTTTAGTTTGGACTCACCAGAATGATGGCGCCAGAACAGCAGGACGATTGTTTAGACGATGCTAATGTAATTGTGCATACTATAAAATGCTGACTTCAGCATCTCGATTTCACCTGTCTAGGCTTGGGCAACCTGGTAGTATCCTAGCCTTCGTCCTTTCTTCGGGTGGCAGGGCAGCTAAGCACTGCAATGACGTTACAGCCAGACGATTTATTTATTATCAACACCAGAAATACTTTGTTTCTGTTGGAGGATAAAATGGTCGGTGCAATGAAGTTTTGAAAACAAAGAAGTTGAGAGGAAAAGGTTGAAAACAACTCTAGTCGGGAGTACAGAGGAATAAAATATTTGTCTAATAGTGTCTGTGGTGGAACCTACCCAGATAATGTTTTCTGTATCACCAAGCGGTAGGACTGAAACCAATGGGCCAATGAATTCACTGTGTCCAGCAATTTTTGGCCAAGGCGCATCCGCTTCACTAAATCGGCACTCGATTTCCTCCTCCTTTACAAGGCAGTCACTTGGCGCACGGATGTAACATATCTCTTCTCCGTGTTTATCCGTGTATCTGGTAGGTGAGTGTGATAGGACAATGTTACTGTCGATTCAAATAACTTATACTTCATTTAATTTGGGAGTCAGCATCGATTCCAAACTGTCCAGAAAATCAGAAGTAACTTCAAATCATCCGATAAAAGACCGTGCTTTATTGATATGGCAAGAAAAAGCCAGATGAAATGTGAGTAAGCCCGTTTGCTTGCGATCGGGGTATCAACCAAAAAATGACATGTTCAGTCAGCTGTCACATGTCCGCATCATGAATAGCATCATCGACCGCGGTACCATTTCAGAATAAAATTGTACAGCGGAAACAAAAGTGTCATGGCTGGACAGAGAGGCCCGTGATCTGCTACCATATTTTGCACGAGGTGTCTCTACCTCGGTAATACAGTCAGACAATCTGGATAGAAACCAGTAGCTTGATAACATCAGTTGGTGTCCCTGTATTTCACTATCTCCGGAACAGAACATGAACATTCTCCCGGAAGTCGGAAAACACAGAGGCCATATCATTAGGAAAACAACAAGGACTTTGATGTAGTCCGGACCACCAATCGCACTAAAATCTTGAAGTTTTGTGGGTTCTGATTACGCGACAGAAATTACAATTCCTAATGGAAGCCGTGTAAAACAGCCATGCGCATTTGACAGATAGCTGACAGATTCTATCGACATGCCCATTCATGTAACCAGACCTCACTTCAGAGCCACAAGCTGGCTCCACGGATAGGCAATAGATGACCTGGGATGACTCGTGTGAAGGGATTCGGGCCTACAGGGCACACAGAAAACACAAAGACGTATAACCATTCTATGAAGAGGAACGTTGGTAGCTTAGGTCGCGCTGGCGGTTGCTTGTTGGCTGAACTGACTAATTTGGTTGCAAGCGTTTCATCGCCAATAAACATGATATCGTCGGTGTGTTGTTAGTGTGTGGAGTGTAGGGTTGGGTCAGTGACTGTGCGTTGAGTAGTTGTGCGCGTGTGCTAACATACGTTCTTCTAGCAGGTTGGTTGGTAGATCGGTGGGATGGTTCTGTTGGCTCGTCTGTCGTTCTGTGCCCTGATTGGCCGGTGACACGTGACCTTTAAACCTGTCTTCTCCTGCCATCGTTTACTAGTTGGTGCTCGACTGACCTCTGACCTAGACCCCTGCCGATGTGACACCAAGGAGTTTCCTGGTTCTTGGTTCTTTAAACCGATGGCCGGTATCATTAGGATATTCTGGTTGATGTGCTGGTTTTTTGTATATAATGGTGCATAAAACGGTCAACTATTATGCCATTTTGATGAATAGCTGCAATGCTACCAGAAGGAATTATGAGGGCTGGGATACTGCCTGGTTGCCCGGACCTAGACAGGAGCAGTAGGGGTGTACAGGCTGGAATCTAACCCCAGACTTTTCGGTTGGTTGACTAAATCCATCGTGGAGTACCTTGTCTGGAGAAACTCGATTAACAATCACTAGCCCACCGCTACTTTCCGCTACGACACCCAAAAATGCACTGATGCTTTCACCTCGACCAGTGTTGGAAAGTTTACAATCGAATTTTTCATCTCAGGGAACAAATAGGCGACCATACCTGTCCTGGCCTACGAGAACCAGGAGGGCGATAACCAAACAACCGGTCAGAGGTGAGTAAGCAGATTTCCTGACGATAAATATGTGACTAAAAATTGTGGAAGATTAGCGCTATAGATGGTTATCGCTTAGTGAAGCAGCTGGAGTTCATTGGCTCACTTCCTAAGTGAAGTGTATTCGCGACTGTCGTTTGTACTGTTGCCAGTGGATCGGTGAGCATGTCTTTCAAGCTCAAAATTACGAGTTCGTAAGAAGAATTCAGCTGGGATTCCGTTGAACCTTCTTCTAAAGCCAAATCAATGAACGAATGCGTGATGAGTGCAAATCAGGGAGCGCGATAGGCACCATAATTCTAGATGAAAACCTGTGGGGCGTCAGATACATAGACAGAATAAGAAAGTAAGGATGGATTGTGGATGACAGTGCCCGTTTTTTAATCGGTAAAGACATGGTAAAAACAACTGTTACGTTGTACCGTTCCTAACCGGAGCGCATGAATTTGGTGTTCCCAAAATATATCGCTGCGATGGCCGTAAAACCGAGGATGTGAGCAGTCCTAATAAACTGGGATCAATACATGTTCTCTGACTAATTGAGAATAATCTAATGAGTAACGTAACCCATCACCTGATACCCAGGTCCAGAACTGGTACACTCATCCTCAGCGAAAAGAAACGTCCGAGTCATGTTACTCACTTCAGTTATAGGCAACATGTCCGCGTGTTGTTGAGACCAATGTGAAAGACTTGTCAATTTCCAGAATAGTTCACCTGCACGTTATCCTGCTTCTTCTGTGATGTGTTTTGACTAACGGGCAATTAAGACTTGCTCCGGCAGTTTCACAGTTTCGCACAAAATCTGATCTGGTCTTTGCTGTGGTTTATCGAAACTTTGGGGTCGTTTTTGACTTGACGGATTACATGACAGTTTAGAAAATTTAGACGACTTCTTGCGACTTCGCTTGTAAGTTTAACCTTTAGCATTTGACTGGATTCCCAGCATTTATTAAATACTGTTGTTATCAGGAAACCTTTCTGATGTAACTCAAAGAACACCGATTCAGGGTTTTCCATGACTCACTAAATGTGCTTTAATGGCACAAATTGATCCAACTTTCTCGTATCAGCTTTGCCGCGAGGTCGCCGAACGTTTGAAAGTTATTACAGCCCATCGGAATTCATCACCTAGCTGACCAGCAAGAGATCTGGACTAATCAAAGTCACCCACCAAATCAGTAACATTTAGTATGACCATAATTCCAGTAAATCAGCTTCAGCGAAGGCACTGAACCCCTTTAATGAATGCTGAACACCGAGACAACCATAACAACTTTCATCCTCAAGAAAAATATGACGGGTAGCTCCAGAATAAGATCCGGTTTGAGAGCTATCAATTTTTCAAGTCGCGAGAGTAAACGACAATGAACGCGAATGAAGTGCGAACCCCATATTCACCCTTCCTGTTACCGACAGTGAGCGACCCTGGTGGTGAGAAACGGACTTGGCGACTAAAATGACGGTACGGAGGGGTGAATTTCTGTCCTATGTGTATTGTGTCATCACTGTCATTGTCACCAACAG